TGATATGGCAGCTGCCACAGTGCTACTCAGGTGGCAGTGGTGGTGCTACTGAGATAGCAAAATGGCAGGGGCTGATGCTGAGGGCTGGTGGGTGCCTGCTCTGCTCAGATCCCCAGGAGGTGGCTGGTGGGGGAGTTGGGGAAGTGCATGGCACCCTGACACAGTGTATGTGAGAGTGCCTGCCCTCCCCACTCCCTCTCTGACCTGGAATTGTAACGGGGAGGTGGCTACAGTGGAGCCTACCCCTCTGCAGACGAGGCACTCTGGGGATGAGAGTGCAGATTGGTGTTCGTTGCAATGACCTGGGACCAGAAGTTGGCAGGACACCACTGTGCCTGCTCTCCAGTACAATGTTGCTGCAGTCACCAAGCAGCTCCCTGACCAGTTCAGCGGCCTGCTGTGGTGGGGGAGCCCCCTTCCAGCTTAGATCTCAGTGTCTGCTGGGGGAGCATGGAGCCCCAAGGCTCTCTCCCCTAATCCTTCCCCATGTATGGACACTTCCCCCAGGTATCTTCTGATCTTGCTGAGCAGGTAACCCCACCTCTCTCTCCCCCTCACTTTGGGTGTCTCCAGTTGGTTCTCTGATTCATAATGCTCTCTCCTCCAAGATGGTCCATCCAAGGTGAACCTCTATCCTCAACCTTTGATCCTCTCCTTGCCAGCAGTAAGTGCAGGCTGCTTCTAGTCTACCATCTTGGCCCCTCCTCCACTATTAGAGTGTTTCCAAGGCTTTCTACAAAATTGTGCTGCTAGTGGATCACTCCTTGCATTAGGCAATCAAAAAGTAGATGAAGTTGTAATGTCATTAGCAAATATTTTTACATACATTTTCTATTGTGAAATAATAAGACTTTCTGAAGTTTTATATACAAACCTGTGTCCTTTAAAAGTGACATATAGGTTCCAAAATTTTCAAAACTAGGTAACTTAACAAAGCATCTTAAGAAAAAAAGAAAGTACTGGCATTCATGTTCATTTCTTTTACTTCGTTAGAGAACACTAAAGCAGGTGTTTCAAGTATTTTGCACTTCTAAGAAGTGCTAAAAACACAAACCCACATATCAAATAAATTTTTGGAGCAATCACACTACTCCAAAATAACTTAAAGTATTTTTTGTTAATTAGGTTGTATCTGGGGTGAAGTCAGATTTAATTAAATCATGAATCAACGGGAAAGTAGCCCCAGGACTGGCTACATAGCTTTTAAATAAATATGCAGTTTAGGTAGACAGAAGAAAAGAGAAGGTTTTGTGAAAATGAGCTCTAATAACTGAATGTGATTCATGAAGATAATATGAATTAGAAGAAAGAAAAATAAGGCAAAGAAAAGTGTAGAAGCTAAAAGTGCAGTTGGCTCACAAAATTACCTCCTGAAAGTCCCATAGCGTATATCTTGGAGGAAGATTTGGATTTGAATGTAGAATAAATTATTTGATTATTTTAGATAATGTTCTGGTCTAGATTAACGTAATTAGATGATTATTGCTCGTTTGTATAAAAGATGGTGTGCCTCTGGGCTATTAGAGCAATTAACTGCAAGTTGGTCACCAAGTAATCAATACAACATGACATCTTGACTGAAATAATCATTAATCATAATAATAATTTCAATTACTCAAGTTATTCACATTACTTGATTCTATCACAATATTACCATTTATCACATACAAGGTGCTATATGGGATTTAACAATAATGCCTTGCGGGTGAATAGCTTTTTACAGTTTTAAACTCTTTTGCTTACTTGATCTCACCTGAGGCTCACAGCAGCTTTGTGAATTAGGAAAAATTAACTACTTTTAAGATGAAGAAACAGAGGTCCAAAGAGAGTATTAATTGATCAGCAGTATGGGTGCTACAGTCTGAATGTTTGTGACCCTCCCCCAAAATTTGTATGTTGAAACAGAATCATGAATGTGATTAGGAGATGGGGCCTTTGGGAGGAGATTAGGTCATGAGGGGGAAGCCTTTATGAATGGGATTAGTGCTCTTATAAAAAAATCCCCAGAGAGCTGCGTTGCCCCTTCCACTAAGTGAGGACGCAGATAGAAGGTGTCATCTGTCAACTAGAGAGCAAGCCTCACCAGGCACAGTGAAGTCCAGAATCTGCTGGCATCTTGATCTTGGAATTCCCAGCATCCAGAACTGTGAGAAATAAATTTTTATTGTTTATAAGACACCCAGTCTATAGCATTTCGTTATAGCAGCCCAAACTAAGACAATAGGCCTTTAAGTGCCAGTTCTGCTATCCAGTGGCTGTGTAATTTTGAGCAAGTTATTTAACCATAATGTGCCTCAGTTTCCTTATATGAAAAAGTTATGCTAATAATAATTAGGCTAATAATAAAGACACATGGAAGAAAGAAATCACTTAGATCTTTTCTGGATCAAAGTGCATACACAGGGGGCGCCAACCATTCACATAGTTCAAAACAATGCTTGTGTTTCCTGGAGTTGTGCAACAGGGTAGCACTATAAAATAAAAGAAAGTTTTAAAACAAAAATACAATTATTAATCCTTTTACAAGTTCTTTGATGTTTATAGAATAAACGAATGATTCCAACCAGACAGACTTTTCTTCAAATACCCTGTGGAAACTGGTGCACAGATCCTCAGGCTTATGGAATTTGAGAGCCAGTAGAGACATCACAGTACCTCTGATGCAACCTCACTTTACAAATGAGGAAACTAAGTGTTAGGAAAAAGAGAGTTTTCCAAGTTCATACACTTGGCCCCTCCAGAATTAGATTTAATAACCATAAAAACTGTGTTCACACACTATCATTCTTAGGTTCTTTGCACTCAGTATCATTCTGATTGGAGGAGGAGATAGGACAGGGATGCACTTTTGCAGCCTGACACCCAGGCTGGGCAGGCCTAGTGGGGAGCCACAGTGAGGTGGCTAAAACCCAAAAACTCTACAAGAAGATCATAGAAGAGAAACACAAACTCGGCTTTGAAAAGAGTCTTTTAATCAAGCTACCCAAGGGTATGAACATCAAGCACTTCTGTGGGCATGTCACTTATTTTTAAAAGAATCATGGATAAGTCTATTTCAGGATTTATGCCCAAGACAAGGTATGGAGGGAATTTTCTCCTTTCTCCTGTCTCCTTGGCATCTTATTCCCAGGATTCAGAGGAGGATCACTAGTCACTAGATTGATTCAGAAATCTGGAGGCTTCTGCAGGCTTTTCTGGGGAAATCTGAGGAGCCACCATCTATGACATTGTTTTCATGAGAAAACTAATTATAGAAACAAGATAACTGACTTTTTAATAAAGTTTTGGAATAAGTGGGGACGGGATAGCAGTCTGCTTCTTGTCCTCTGGAAGTACTTTTAAACTCAACAGACTAAAAGCAAAAAAGACCAAAAAAAAAAAAAAATTAAGTACCAGAAACAGTACAGTAGGAATGCCAAAGATTCTAGAAGCCTCCTGGGCAAGAAAATGGATCATTTCCCACTCCCACCCCATCCCGATCTTAAGCTCACGTTTTCTTCCTCCTCCTTTTCTTTACAGACATGATAGGCAGTGTTTAGGTCTGAAAACGGAATGATCATGACATTTTTTGCTTGCTATGCTAAGAAGTCTGGATTATAATGAAAACATCAGAGAGAACATATTGAAAGACTAATTTTGCATCAGGAGAACCTCTATACAATGATTTTCCACAGCAGAGCTGACTTCAATATGTACTTTAGTTCTGTTAGACATCCTAGGGCTATTCTATGATGGAAAATGATCTTTTGTTTTGACACTGGAATTTTTTAATGAGACACAAAGTACTGCTTTTACAAATGCCAGACATTTGTGAGAATTTACCACTTTCTGAAACCCCATAACATCAATGTTATGCTATATTATCTCTAGTAGCTTTGAAGTCAAAATAAAGAGCAAAGTACATTGCCAGTATCATGTCAACTAGAATTTTTTGTTTGTCTTGCAGTCTTTTCTGAAAGGGCTAAATTTGACATGCACCCTGAGTTTTTCTGACTGGAACCTGACAGGAAGCTTGCTTGTTATAGCAGGAGAGAGCCAACATGATAAAGAGCCAACAGTTGACTGGGTTGGAGGCTCCAGTCTTGTTTCTGCAACTTCCTAGCTGTGTGACCTTGTGCAAGTTACTTAACCTCTCCTGACTCAGTTTCCTTAACTGTAAAATGGTAATTACAAGGTTGTGGTGAGGATGAAGTGAGGAGTCTACAAAACACCTAGCACAATGCTTACAGACAGAACTCAATTCTGTCTGTAAGTTTGGTATTGCTAGTTTGGACAAATATTAGACAAGGGTATACTTTGTTCCCGTTTGATCATGTATCACTGGACCATCAGAAACAGCCACTGGGCTCAATCACCTTGACAGAATGAAAGGACGACTTCCTCTGGGTCCTCTTGCTGTCTACAAAGAAAGGCACGTGCCACTGATTTGCACCTCCCGACCCAAACATTCCAGAGAGTAAGTCAAAAGGAGAGGCTGTAAGGCCAAAATTACTCAAATAATTGCTTTTGTTCTTTCTGTCTATAGCCATAGACACAAAACATTTCCCTTTATCCTTTTAAACCAGGATTGTTTCTCCTGGAGCAAGATGACAAATTACAGTTGACTTAGTACAAGTAGCCATAGAGCCATAAAAAGACGACGGAGGTACCTCGACCACCAGCTCCCTAAGCTTGGGTAGTGCGCTTTCCCTTCCCAGGCCTCGGTTTCCCCATTCATAAAAGGAACAGAGTTGTACCAGAACATTTCCCCAAATCCAATCTCCTCCTCCCTCCTCCAGGTAAAAAAAAAAAAGGCAAAGCCATTTATTTCCTTCCATACGAATATAAAAAAGGAACATCCAGGCACGAACCCCATACACCCCTAGGTAACCTGGAGCCACGAGTGGCTGCCGGGCCGGGCCTCCCGGGAGAACCACCACGTGCGGGCCCGGCGCGTCGCGGGGCGGGCACCGGAGCAGGAGCGCCCCGCCCCCGAGCGTGCCCACGCCGCCCCGCCCCCAGCCCCCGCCCAATCGGCTCGCGGCCGCGCGCAACAGGCCGTGCCTGGTGAGTGGCGCGATCCCGCCGGCTGCCGGGCGACGCCGCATCCGGGGTCGTCCAGGGTCCCGCGGGACGCTCGCGTGGCTGGTCCCGGCGCCCGGGAGCGAGTGCGGGTCTAGGGAACCTCGGGGCCCGGGCTGGGAGTCTTGGTGGCTGGCGCTGTGGTTGCAGAACCGGGCACGCGCGCCCACGCGCTCCACGTCCCCGGAGAGCAGGGCAGTGTCCCGCACGGCCGGGCTCAAGGAGTCTCGAATGTCTTGGGCACGGAGAGTGGCACACGTGCTCTGCCCGCGGGCCCGAGAGTCGGGACGAGCGCACGGAAAGTTTGGTGGCTTGGCAGGGAGGGTAGTGCGGGCAGCCGCCACACGTGCTGCGCCGCCGGCGCGTCAGGTCGGGCCTAAAAGGCACGTTTTGCAGCCAGGAAACCTGAAGTTCGGGTGTGTGGAGAGAGGGGAAGCTGCGTCTTTCTTTCACATTACTTCTGACTTTAAAATTACAGCCTACGCTTCCAATTCATTTATCGACTAATAGTTCTACACCGGCTGAGTTGCCCAACAGGTTAGTAAGACCAGATTATTCACTGTTTTCAGGAAGGGTAGGCCGGGGAGTCAGAGGATCTGATTTCATCACTAATTAGCTGTAAATTCAGCGCCAGGAGTTTCATTTCACTGGGACCGTCTTTGGAGGAGCCTGATTTATCTAGCTTTTCCCATCATCACTTGGTTTTTGCCTCCTGGGCCTCATCCTCATGGTCACCGAAATACATTGAAGTACCATTCATTTTTTCTCTAAAATAGAACTATAACTGCCAATCACAGCTTTAGGTCAGCAGAAGAACCAGTTTTCTCTCCTTGGATGATAATTTCTGTGAGCCTGAAGGAAATGTTTTAGGTTAGCCTTGGCAGCCTTGTAATATATTAATATAATTTCTGACAGGTGTGTGTGTTTAATTGAGCTGATTTTGACTGTTTGTCCATCCTCAGTGGATCTAAAATCCATCAAGAGAGCTTATTACATTAATGCGGATTTCTGGGTTCCTGCCATCAGAAGTGGCAATCCCATGAGCTTGGTACGGGGTCCGGCAATTTTCATGCTAACAGGTATTGCTGGTGGCTCTGGAGTACACGCTCTAAAACACTGCTCAGGCGATGTAAAGACACCTCCCTCCACTGCTTGGTGATAACTACTGATGTCCAAGGTGCCTTTTAGCTCTTACAGTACTGTTGAATATCCAAGTGACAGCTGCCATCAGAAAAGTAATCCCCACTTCGTAAGTCATCTGTTTTCCCCTATTTTGTGCAAGGTCTTTCTCTAAAATTATATACAGACAAAAGATGAAAAAGTGAAACAAAACTCAGCAAACATTTCTTGAGGACCTCCTATGTGCCACACTCTGCTAGGCTCTGGCAACGTATAGGTCTCTTCAAGAAGCTGTGTTATGTCTTCATGTCATTTAATATTCTGGTAGAAAAGGAGATTAGTACACCTTAAAAATATAATGACTATTTGTTGGCTATAATATGGGCATCAGTATCGATTTTTTTGTAGAGTTTATCTGTGGGCCAGTTACCAAAATATGAACCATGAATCTTTTGACTTAATCTTTTTATGTTTTAATGCTTATAGTCAACTGAAATGGAAAGCAATTGCTTTTCAAAAAACTTTGTAGCTTTATAGAAATAGTTATTTTAACTTCTATTTGGGTGGTCTGTGAGGTTTATAGGTGGATTCTGTTGGCTGTCCTAAACAAAGCACTCTCCTTCAATTACTATATTCTTGGATTCTAAAACATGCTTTTTCACTTATTACTGTTCCTGAAACTGTAATGCACCTTATAATTTTTGTATATTTATTGTGGTAGGATATGTCATCTATTCCCCACTCCACCCTAGCTGTTAAAAGGAATGGTTGCTTTAAAATATGAGTAGTGTGAAAATCAGAGAAATAGTATATTTGCCCAGCAACCTCTAAGCTAGGTTGCAATTAACTGAGCCTCAAATCATTTCAACGTGAACATAGAGAAACAATTAATGATGTAACTTTTGGCAGTATAAGTAGTAAAATTTATGTTCTAACAAAAGCATGTGTTATGCAGTATTGGAGTTTATTTTGTTAGTCATTGTAGACGGGAAGAATTCCTTAAGTGATTTTATTTTGGCTTAAGTATTTTGCACACTGTTTAGCCACATTTTCTAGTTAATGTGTTTATACTGCATTCATAGATTATGCTTAAAGAAAACAAGCCTTTCCCTTGCATTTCCTACTGTTCAGTCCCCTTAAATAAATTTTAAACTGACCAATTATGAGAGATAAAAGATGTATAACTGAATATAAGATTGCTTTATAGGGTAACCTTTAGTGATACAAACCTAACAGTTTTAAAAAATTAAATGTGAGCAATGTGTCTGTTCCCATGACCATCCTTAATTCAGCAATGCTAGGAGGACTCTGGGCTGATTTACTACAGCGAAAGGATAACAGGCACAGTCAGCAAAGGAGAGAGGCACATGGGGTGTCCTGGGGAGACCAAGCACAAGGTTCCAAGGATCTTCTACCCACTGGAGTCACAATGGACGTGCTCAGCTGCTCCAGTAACTAGTTGTGCCAGCACTTGTGAAATGTTGCCAACCAGGGAAGTTCTTTATAGTTTCAGTTCCCAGGGTTTTTATTGGGGGCTGATCACGTAGGCAGCCTCTGCCTGGCACAGATCAAAATTCCAGACTCCCAGAAGGAAAGCAGGTGTTCAGTACAAACCATATTGTTTATACTGTTTAGGCATAGTGAGCCACTCTTATCAGTTCATAGTGGTGGGAACCCTTCCAAAATCTTGAGTTCCCAGACGTCAGCCCCAAGCGTGCCTTTCAAAGGATAGCAGTCAGGCCTGCTATGATAGCTCTTTTCTACACAAGCAGTACTCCTTACTGAATCTGTTTTCATAACTCCTGTATTTCTGAGTCACTTCAGAATTCCAAGTACTAGCAATGCTTTGTCTCACTGAAGCCTTGAGTCTTGAGTTGAGAATTCAGGCTGGTCTGTTTGACTTAAAAGGTACAGAAAACATTTTCAGAAACTGTGTCTCATTGACCACATATCCTAAAACAGTAAGGTTTATTTTTTTCCAAGTTTAAGCCCTTACCCCCCTCTATTGTAGGTTTTTAGTATCGTTCATGTAGTTTTTCACCATGCTCCTGTGTTTCCTTACTGGAAGCATTTGATCTTTTGAGGAACTGAGCTATTTGTGGGTACACAACATAGAAGCTAAGAGAATCTCTGAGAGAGTTTTATTATTTTGACGTTTCTACTTCCTAATTTGTTCAGTTTACATCTGGGTTGCATGCTAAAGGTTCCTTTAGAAATCAGTGGGTGCGATATCTAACATACGGTTCCAGGGTGCATACTTCCCACGCCAGCACTAATTCTACTCAGTCTACAGTGTAGCTGAGTTACTGCTTAGTTATAATGACAAAAGAGCAGAAAACGATATATTTGCATTTCTGATATTCAACAAAATTTAAAACCATAATATTTATAAATAAATTACTTGTCTTTCCAAAATTTTGGTTTTTATAAGCATAATGGTTCTTAACCTTTTTGGAGGACATAGACTTCTTTAAGAATCTGGTGAAAGCAATGGACTCCCCCCCCAAAAAAAAAACTTTAAAATAGAATTTTACAGTCTCAGAAAATTTATGTAATTTGAATTACAGTTCCTGAAAACAGATGAGGGAAACCTACATTGTAAGTGTAACCAATAGTTGTGGTCCGGGAGCAGTTCTGAGAGAAGGTTGGCTATACTTGGGAGTGTTGCTCCTCTTGCTACTTAGAAGTGTACCATGGACCCACAGCGTCGTTACAACCCCGGAGCTTGTTAGAAATGTAGAATCTCAGGCCCCACCTCAGATCCGGTGAATCATAACCTGCATTTGAGCAAGACGCCCAGGTAATCTGTGTGCACATTAAAGTTGGAGAAGTGCTGTGTCAGAGTGTAGTGATGTTGGTGTTTTATTATGTCTTATTTCGGTTAAAAAGTTATACATAGCTTTTTAAAGTCTTGGTATACAACTAATTTTTGCCTTCATTTTTCAGCCCCTAATTAGGCTTTTTTTTTTTTTTTTAATGTATGGGAGTTTCTGATAAAGTGGCAATTTCCAGGAATAAGCTCAGATTTGGAACTGAGAAGCTTCAGGCAGTTGAAGAGACTCAGGAGCAAATAGCTTCTTGCTCCAGCCACCAGGTGGCACCACTGGTCCAGTTGCCCTGCTAACAACAGTTGGGGGTGGTGCTGGAGTGAGGAGCACCTGGCAGTGGGCGGCTGCTGGTGGTTCTCCAGTCGAGTGTGTGTAATCCCGGGTACATCTAATTAGATCAAGGGCCTGGTGCTAGCTGCAGCCAAATTCAAGATTTGTGACTCTGGCGTGACAATGGCCACAGGCTAAACCTATGACTAGAAAGTGCTGAGACAGTCAAATGGTTTAATTCGTCATAATTATACTGCCTAATAAATAATGAATTCCATGATTTAATGCTTGTGTACAAGAAAAAAACATGTTTTCCTTTAGATGAGTATGTAATCTGGTGTTTGAGGCTGAATTCTGTCGTGGAAGAAATGGCATTGGCTTAAGGCTGTTGCATATCCCGGGGGAAGCACCATTGACTTACAGAGAGTTCTCTTGAAGGCGCAAGGGTCATGCAGGTTGTGTGAGTATGATCCACTAACACCAACACTGGCACTCCTTCTAAATCTAACCACCTGTGTTCGTTCTTTTGGTAGGTTTGTGTTTCCTTACTACTTTGTCTTGAAGACAGAACTATGCCAAAGAAAGCAAAGCCTGCAGGGAATGGGAAGGAAGAAGGGCCTGTTCCCTGTAAGCAGGTGAAGGTGAAGGCAGCTGCGGGGCCTTCCATTTTAAACTTTGACAGCCCCAGTGGTCTCTTTGAAAGTTTAATCTCACCCATCAAGACAGAGACTTTTTTCAAGGAATTCTGGGAGCAGAAGCCTCTTCTCATTCAGAGAGATGACCCTGCCCTGGCCACGTACTACCAGTCCCTGTTCAGGCTAACAGATCTGAAGAGCCTATGCAGCCGGGGTATGTACTACGGAAGAGATGTCAATGTCTGCCGGTGTGTCAATGGGAAGAAGAAGGTTTTAAATAAAGATGGCAAAGCACACTTTCTTCAGCTGAGAAAGGATTTTGATCAGAAAAGGGCAACAATTCAGTTTCACCAACCTCAGAGATTTAAGGTAACAGGTTTCTCCAATGCAGAAGCCTCATATATACTAAAATGCTAACATTTGGCCACAGATCAGCTCAAGGGTAAATATGGGGTATGATGATGATTAGCGTCCTGCTAGTTTGAGAAGGGACAGCACCTGTTTGTTCTTTAAATGCATTGTAACTTAGGACATTTTAACTATGTTATCTTTTGGTTAAACTGTTAGAAACTCTAGCAACTCAGGCTGGACATTATTAGGTATCATTGAGCTGCAAAAACTAAATCTCATTGCAGGTTTATAAAGGTATTAAAGTAGCACTATGCCTCTAGAAGCATGTTCTATGGGCTGGTTTATGTTTTCCTATATGCTAGACATTTCTGTTTGGTTTGTCCTGTTACTGTAATTTAAGACATGATAGCATCAAGGTGATCATTTTTCTTGAAGTTGCCTCCCTTTATTGCCAACATCTATCTCAGCGGAAGTTTCAGAGCCATGACCAGATCACATACTAGACTTGTTCAAGAAAGAGACTTCACCCTTATTAATGGGTGACATTGATTGAGGCTCAGCGTCCTAAAACTGGTCCTGATGAGGCAGTGGTAGGTGGAGGATATCTTTGATATGCGAGTCCAGAGGACTGTCTAATTTTTAAATTTATTCTACATCCGGAATTAACATTTGGGAAATAATTTGCCTCCTTTGTGCTCAGTTTCTACATTTATAAAATGCATATTTAGAATGAGCTAATCTGCTTTTTTAGAGGTTTGAGATCTTTATCTTATCTCACGACAGATGGCCAAGAACAGGTGAGGGCCTGTTCTGAATTTTGGATTAAGTTTTATCCCCATTCAGAAACCCTCTTCTGTGACCCATGGCTAAATCGAATTGGCAGCATGGGAGGAGAAAGAGAGGGGTTGGTGAGTTCCATATTGAGGGGAGTGTATTCTGGCTGTATTGATGACTTCTGGGCTCTGTCATCAGTTACTGTCATCAGTTACCGATAGTGTTTCCCATGATTTAACTTAAAAGTTGGCTTGTTAGATCCGATTAGGCCTCATCTGGTGAATGCCCTTTGCTTTCTTATCTAAAGGATCTTGAACCTAGTCATACTCTGGAGGAAGTATAAGTACTCTTGGGTTTTCAGTTCAAGTCCTGATTCCAGTTTTCCATCTCAAAGAATCACAAGAAGTTGAAATGTCCCTGAAATGCCAACCTTTTGGCCCTAGCACTCAAAAAGAATTTACAGATCATTTGCCAGACCAAGTCATGATTTTATTTCAGAAAATAGGGACACCCCAGATAAAATGTTTCTCTCTAAGATAGTCCTCGACTCTTTACCTGACTAGAAGTAGCGCTTTTAAGAGTGGGTTTTGGAAACCTAAGAACTATGAACATGCATTAATTCAGTGAAGTTGATTGCATGTGATGTGGTCACAGACCAGCAGGGAGTTGTTATTTGGCATATGTGTGGTGTCCTCTGTGGTTGTCACTTCTGTACTGTAGGATCATCTCCCCCAGGGCTTTTCTCTGCTTGTCCACTTAAGTTCTGCACATTCCTCATTTGGGATTCCAGGTGGCCAAGAATCTGTTTCCTTTACCCTGTTGACTCTGCTCTTTGGCCCAGTTTATTAAAGCAGGAAGGATAAGCTTTCTCAGCCCAGATTCAGCCCTCAGGCTAGAAGAGTATGCATCCTGGTTTTTTGTTATTGTCGTTGTTCTCCTTTGCCACCCATACTTGAGAAACCATAAACTGTAGGAGCTCACCCTCATACACTAGAAGCTGGGCTTCGAATACTACATTATGAGGAGGTTTAGTGTTGTGTGCCTGTTTCTTTAGGAATGGGCGTATTAACATCAGAATAGAAAAACTCTAGAGGCAGTTCATTACTGGCCAGGTTGAGAGACTATTGGGTTGGACGTTTAACCCTTTGCTTGTTGGGTCTCAGACTGTGTACAGCTTATTAGTCTAGTTAGTCTAGAAATAACTAAGGGGCTAACCAGAGAGCCGTATTAAGTTGTTCCTCACCTGCTTTGGGTAATCCATATATCAGAAGTTGTGGTGAAGGGAATTATCACAATTATTTGCATCTTGCATCTTGCAAGATGCAAGCCTTGCGTGGCAGGCTAGAGTTTATCAAATACTTTCACGTGTTAACTTTTGACCCTTACAACAGACATTTGAAATAGTTAGAGCAGCTGTTGTGGTCTCCATTTTCCATGTGAAAAAACCGGAGGTCACAGATGTGTCTTTTCCGTAGCTGTTCTGAGCTGGTAAGTGTTTCTGACTCCAAATTCAAGGCATTTTCCTACCATACTTTGGAAAATGTTAATTGAGATGTAGTAGGGCTTTTTGCGTGTGTGTTTTTGCCTTTCTTGAGACGTACTCATGGGCTTCTCTTCCTAGGCATGGCATTCAGTTTTCATTTTGTGGGGTAGGTCAGTGGAGAGAGGAGGTTGTACCCTGCCAGGAGAGAGACTCCCTCCCACCTTCCCTCTTTGATTGTTCTGGGTCCTCCTCAGCCTCTCTGGACTTAGTTGGGAGTGACATGAAAAAGGAGAAGACAGATTTTCAGGGGCCTTGCTTACACATGAGTCCGTGTTGGTGAAGCAGTCATACTTGCATTTGTGATAACACTGCTTTCCAATTTCAATAGGATTTGAGATAAGTTGTTTTATGCTGTTCTGCCACAGTTTTAAGGTGGGAGTGATAATATCTTTATATTGCAAATAAAGAAACCAAAGTCACCTAGCTTGTAACAACAACTTGGACCGAAGTGGTTTGACTCCAGGTATCTTTCTGGTAGGCCACAGTTGGCAGAATCAGAAGCTGAAGGTGCAGAGGAAATGGAAAAAATGTGCAGTTGATAGCATTTTCAGTAAACTTTAACAAGAAAAGAGACATATATTCATCAGTTACGGACCCTGATGCTTGAGTTGGGAACTATAAAATCACCATACAGGCCTGACGGACCTCTCAGGCCATCAGAGAGAGAGCGAGAAGCCCTGGTTTTCTAGTGGTGCCACTTACTGTATAAATATAATTATAGAGCCAGGTCCTGCTGACCTCTTGCTGAAATAAATTAGCCTCCTTGGGAGCTCTGTTAACTCTTTGGAGCTATTCAGAGGCCATAAAGTTATTTTTTCTGTGTTAAGTAGAACCTCTGAGATCTATAAATAGAGAAGCCCAGTGGTCTAAATAAAGATATCCTCCAAAGCTTTTTTTCAAACTGACCCAATTCTTTCCCACTTGGTATTTTAATACTGTGAATCCTTTTTCAGACCTGTGGTAGCATTGACTGCCAAGCTGTGGTCATTGGTTTACTCAGCAAATATTTTAATATGTTGCAATGTATCCCATCTGCCAGGTACTATGCATTCATACGTTTAAAACTTTAATCTCTTTAATGTCCTTTGTGATTTGTGTTTTCTTAAATTATCTCAAAGGTAATTTAAGCCTTGAATTTGAATCCTGTCTCCATTATTTACTAGTTACGTGTTCTTGTGTCTCAGTTTCCTCATCTGTAAACTGAAGATGATGATACTCTCCCCCCTTATGAGACAGGGTTGTTGTGAGGGTTCTATGACTAAGACGTATGAAGCACTTAGAGACAGTGCCTGGCGCATAGGAGGTGCTAATATCTACATGGTCCAATTGCTGCCTTCCCTTTTCTCATCAGCCTTGGGAAAATCAGATTTTTCTTTCTTTCTCACAGGAATATATGGCTCCTGGCTAGGCTCGTAAGTCTCTTGTATGCCCTGAAGAGTTGATTAGTGATTGGAGAGAGGGAACGTTACTTGGCCCTGCTATTCCTTCTCTGTCTTTACCTTCTACCTAGGTTATCATTCTGTTCCCATTGCTTTAAATATCCATTTTGTGTAGGCAGTTCCCAAGTGTAAGTCTCCAGCCCTTACTTCCTGCCAGGACTTTAAATCATCTCCACGTGGGGGTCTTAGCATCCCAAACTTAACATTTCTAATGTAGAACACCTTTTTTTTTTTCCCCCCCTCCTGAAAACTTGTTTTTTAGCAAGTCTTTCCAATCTCAGTAAATGGAACTGGGAACTAATTGCCCAAGTCAAAAACCCAGGAGTATTTTTTTTCTTTTTTTTTACTCCCTCATTTCCTTTTTTTTTTTTTTTTTTACCACCCTTTTATATATTTACTCCATCAGCAGGTCCTGTCAGTGCTACTTTCAGAGTCTCTCTCACTTTTCTGCTTCTTTCTATCCCTCTCCCACCATCGTGCTGATTTCTTACCTGGGCTGCTGCCTGAATAGCTTCCAGAGTAGCCTCCGTGGCTTCTTCTCTTTTCAACAATTCATTCTCCACACAGTAGCCAGGGTGAGCTTTTAAAAATGTAAATTGGATGGTGTCATTCTTCTACTTAAAATCCTTCATGACTTCCAGTCGCGTGCCTTGCCAATCTCTTGTCTATCTGCTCAAGTCTTTTCGGTGGTGTTTCTGCACTGGATGGAGGATTCTTAAAGGCAGGGGTTGACTGCTCTTAAGTGTTGGCTCTTTTCCTGCTTGATTCTAGTGTCTGGCATATAATAGTTGCACAGTAAAGACTTTTTAAGTGAACAAGAACATGTTCTTATTTCTAATATATTTTTTTTTACTCCCCCCCTCTTTTTTTGTCCCTTTAAGGATGAGCTTTGGAGGATCCAGGAGAAGCTGGAATGTTTCTTTGGCTCCTTGGTTGGCTCAAATGTGTACATAACCCCTGCAGGATCTCAGGGCCTCCCGCCCCATTATGACGATGTTGAGGTAAGAGAAGAACAAAATTGCCCAACGTGGGGAAGAACAAGTTGCTGAGAGGCTGGTTTAGTATAGTTGTCAGGAGTAGTTCACATTATTCTCTACGGCTCTTGGGCCAGGTCTGTGTTTGCTCTTTCTGTGCAGTGTCTGGAGATCTTGATCTCATCTAAACGTTGGGCCAAAATAAATCCCACTAAACTGGTTTCCTGCTCCTTCTCAAAGGGAGAGATTGTTTCCAACCTTACTGATTTAAAGAGCCACACATTCCTTTGAAACAGGTATTTATTGAATGTATCTACAGAGAAGTGTGATTGGCTTTTATTTAATTTCAGAAAGTATGATCTTTAATAAGGTGAGGTCACAAATAATCCTTACATCTGCTTTCATTTTGTTTCTGTTTCAGTAGCTGCCAAAAATACGTATATTTTTTCCATTTGTGAAAATCTTGGGACAGCTCGAATAAAGGTCATGATTTCACTTAAGCGTTGGCACCTTGACAAGTGTTGATTTCACTCTCATGTGGCTTCCATAAAAAGTTAACTCTTTGGCTTAGGTATTTCAGTTTTATTTTTGTACTAATACAAGGTGTGAACACAAAGTTATTAGTAAAAAGTCTCCTTTATCCCCTTGTAGAGAAATTTGATATCAATACATTTTCCAAAAGTGTTATTTTTAATATTTTCAATAAAGCATTAAAATACTTTTGGCTGAATAAAGAATAAAAGTCTTGAAGTTTTCCTGTCTGCAAAGGCCCTTTCAATATTCAGGATTTTGGCCATTCAGTAATATCTGAAGCTTGGCTTTTCCATCAGAGATTATGGGCTTTCAGGTATCGGATAGAAGATTTAAAAGAATGAGATAGTGGGATATAAAGAACTCAGAGAGGCTCTAAGAAAGTGAAAAGAGTGAATATCCAGTATCACAAATCATGATTACCTGTTTTAAAAATAAAAACCAGTAGTGGCAATTTTCATTTAAGTGTGGAGTGACATGTGTTTCTGATCTTTCATTTTTATTTCTTATCTGAAACTTGTACAGTTGACCCTTGAACAATGTGGGGGTTAGGAGAACCGACCTCTTCTGCACTTGAAAATCTGAGTGTAACTTTTGACTCCCCCAAAACTTAACCGCTGATAGCCTACTGCTGACCCAAAGCCTTACCAGTAATAATAACAGTCAGTTAGCACTGATTTTGTATGTTGTATGTATTATATACTATATTCTTACAATAAAGCTAGAGAAAATAAAATGTTAGTAAGAAAATCACAAGGAAGAAAAAATATGTTTCCGGCACTGTATGTATTTATGAATACCGTAAGTTTGTGTCATCTGTTTACAAGATGGATCATCTGTCTGAAATGGCGGGCAACCTCAGCTGCCACCTCAGTCTACGGCATATATCAAGTAATTCAGCTTTTTCTTATAATGTCATGACTTTTTCCTGCTTCTTGGGAGCACTTCTAGCATCACTAGTGGCACTTCATGTGGGTCCCATGTTGTTATTCAAGGTTTACAATAAACCTTGAATTGCGCTAAACATAATGAAAAATATGTGAAAAATGTGAGAGATCACTTTTTACTGTAACACATTATTTATTGGAGAGACAGACTGTTCATGTGGAGATGAGTGGCATCACCCGTTGTTTTAAGCATTACTTGCAACACTTGAGCTTGGGCAATAGCAACAGGAGGTGGCTACAGAATTACTGCAGTAGTACAGTATGTGTACACCACAATTAATTTTATGCAGTTACGATTTAATACTGCATCTTTAAGCATGTTTATGTTTCTCTTGACTGCAAATGGTACAGTCAAGAGAGGTCTGTAAGTTTTCATAAATTTTACCTTTTTATAATAGATTTGTATATATTTTATAGTATAGTAAATGATAAACTAGTATTTACATACATTCTATGCATTTATGATATACCTTTTTCTTAATTTTTTGATTTTTCTTTTTCTTCAAATTGTTGCAAATCTCCAGAAATTTTTTCTAGTATATTTATTGGAAAAAAATCTGTACGTAAGTGGACCTGCACAGTTCAAACCCATGTCATTCAAGGGTCAACTGTAATTCATCTGAGCCATTGGAGAGCTAATATTCCAGAAGCATTTTGCTACATGAGTTGTCAGGAAGCTCTCTGACGCCCCTGGGCCTTTGGGTCTCTGCAGGTTTTCATCCTGCAGCTGGAGGGAGAGAAACACTGGCGCCTCTACCATCCCACAGTGCCCCTGGCACGGGAGTACAGCGTGGAGGCCGAGGACAAGATCGGCAGGCCGGCACACGAGTTTATGTTGAAGGTATGGGATGACCGACCACGTGGGCACCTCTCCTCGGCTGGTTTTCTCTGTTGCTAAGACAAATTTGGGTTTGGGTTTTAGAGTTTGGTGACGGTCCCCGGGGGAACGTATCCCTGGGTCTCAGGGCAGGGTGGCTCTGGTTGCAGTCAGCCAGCACATGCAGCTTCTGGAGGAGTTTTGTGATTTGCAGTTGGAGAAGTGAGCTGAGGAAGTATTAAGTTCATTTTCCTAATAGTCTGTCTTTGTGTAGGATCCAAGTTCAACAGGAATAAAGTGAATTCTGCGAACCACCGACCTCTAGAGTAAAAGTGGAAGGTCTGGCCTTGGGCAGCTTCCCCACATCTAAGATAGCTGTCAGCATGGGGCTGTAAGTTGCTTAGAGCACAGCCAGGAATCACTTAGTTTTTCTGTGGCTAACATTCCAGCGTATTGCTCCTGAGTATGAAGTACTGTATTCCCCTTTCTTTCCCCTGCATACAGTGACCAGAAGAATAGTAATTATGGAAGCTCTTGAGGATTCCTGCTCCAGGGAGTAGGTGGCTTGATCATGTGCTGGTTCCTTGGCATCTTGCTGCTGAAAAAATCTGTCTGTGAACAGTTAGCCTGGATGGAAACATAGCCAGTCCCCAGCGGGAGGGGTTGTTGAGAAAAAGCCTCAGAGGAATAGAAATAGCTCCATAATTAAACTTTATACTCCTTCTTAAAACACATAACTTTAATTTCCTTTAGTGGCAGTAGAACAATAGCTAATTCAAACCATTGTAAAGATTCTGTCAACCTGGTATATTTACATATAGTTGTTTTTGTATTTCTTGCATCTTGAAGTTAAAATTAGTGTCTAATTCTTATTCAGTGCCTGTGTTTTTCTTGATTTTAAAATCTTTGTGTGCCAATAACTGGGGGAAACAATCTCCCTTTTAGGATGGATGCCTATATTATAGGGGACTTAAATAAATAAATGCCAATAAAGGTAACTTTCTTATTTTTTTATGCTCTTAGTGGTTACCAAACTATGGCCCATGAGCCAAAAAATCTGGCATGCTGCCTGTTTTTGTAAGTGAAGTTTATTGGAGCACAGCCACACCCATTTCTTAATGTTCTATCTGTGACTGTGTTCAGGTTATAGCAGCAGAGTCAGTTAGTTGCCACAGAGACCACACAGCCCATGAACCACAGATGTTCACTGTCTTTACATTTGGTCCTTCACAGTTTGCCTGCTTCTGCTTTTGGTGAACCACGTTTAAGTGGACTCTTGGTTGGTTATTTTTAAGCTAAAGACTAAGCCATCTGTGGTCTCTGAGGCCAGGGCTGATTTGCTCAGGCTGACAGCCTGGCTACTTGCCCTGCCCAAGGTGGTCAGGCTTCATAGTGGCCCTCAGGTGTAGAGGGTGTGTGTTCTTTGTATTGTTGCTGTGGGACTTGGAGCAGATGGCACAGATACCCATTTAAACACTAAAATGAATACACAGCTCATTAAGGGAAATCCTAATCTCCTGGAAGGAGAAAGACTGCATTGTACAGTGCAGTGTTTTTCAAGTGTGTATGTCTCTATACATGTGAAGTTTTAACCAGTGGGCCTCTTCAAATGAAATCTGTGTCAGTGCCCAATACATGAAGTAGAAAAGCTGAGTTGCTCTGGTTGGGGGATGAGCATGGGGAGGGGCATGGAGGCTACAGTGAGAGTCGTGGGACCCTTGTCCAACTTCTTCCCCATATTCCAGTGGCAGCCTGTCCAATATACCTGCCAGACCTGGGCTCACAGGGTGAAGACCACCCCTGTGATGGAAACCACTCTGTGGCTTGGGGATCTGACAGATCTGGGTTTGAATTTAGCTGCTGTCGTTGATTAGCTACATGTCCTTGGGAAAGTCATTTATCTAAGTCTCTGCTTCCTCTTTATTAAAATGGAGATTATAATATATACCTTGCAGGCTGTAAGGATTGAAAAATATTATTCTGATGCCTCCTTTACAATAAAATTCCTTGGAGGAGGTATCTATATGTCTGTATTAGTTTTCCTGTTGCTGCTTATCAAATTATCACAAACTCCATGATTTAAAACAACATAAATTTATTACCTTATAGCTCCTGAAAGTCAGATAGACCAAAAGGGGTCTCACTGGGTAAGCAGGACTGTGTTCCTTCTGGAGGTTCTGGGGGAGAATCTTCCCCTGCCTTTTCCAGCAAGGGATGGGGAGCGTTGAGCAAATGTTTGTGGATTAAATGAAATATACAGTTATGTGCTGCATAGGAACATTTCAGCGGGTGACAGACTGCATGTACGACAGTGCTCCCAGAAGATTATAATGTAGCTAAAAAATTCCTGTTGCCTAGTGATATCGTAGCTATCATAAAACATTGTAGTGCAATGCATTACTCATGCATTTGTGGGGATGCTGGTGTAAACAAACCTGCTGCACAGCCAGTCGTATAAAAGTGTACAGTAATGTTCTAGGTCTTCACATCCACTCGCTCACTGACTCACTCAGAGCAATTTCCAGTCCTGCAAGCTCCTAATGCATGGTAAGTGCCTTATATAGGTGTACTTTTTTTTTTTTTTTTAATCTATCTCTTATACCATATTTTTACTGTACCTTTTCTATGTTTAGATAGATTTAGATACACAAATACTTACCATTGTATTACAGTTGCCTACACTATTTAGTATAGTAATGTGCTATATGGGTTTTGTAGCCTAGGAGCTATAGGCTATACCATATAGCCCAGGTGTGTAGTAGGCGATGCCATCTAGGTTTGTGTTAAGTACACTCGATGATGTTCGTGCAGTCATGAAATTATCTGATGACACATTTCTCAGAATATATCGTCATTGTTAAGCAACAGGCGACTGTATATGTGAGGTCTTCACTTCGGCTGGCTCAGAGACACTCAGGAAATGATAGCTATAACTGTCAGTAAAGCATGCACTAGATTTTTCCCATAGGTGCAGAGAGAAGAGCAGCTCTCAAGATCCCCCTCTTCTCCTTAGGCAACTACTATACAGAATGGTTTGGTCTAGGTGGGATTAGGGGGGAGGTAGCTCAGGGCGGTAGTACTTTGGGGAGAATATTTCTGTCCACTGGTTTGGGAGAGAAAAGGGATAGGATGGAAGAGGACCAACTGTCTGAGAAAATAACTGATCTTCAATTATGTCTATTTTTTGGGTTTAAATAAAGGTTGCATCATTTTTCATACATTCATCCAAACATTTATTGGGCCTGTGTTGTGTGCTAGGTGCTTTGTGGGAGTAGGCTCTGGGGAATACAAAATGGGAAGATATAGACCCTGCCTGGAAGAGCTCAAAAATTCAGAGGGTGGGGGAACTGGGAGGTAAAATCATATAATACAACCACATGCCCATCACTGCCCCCAGAGCATTGGAAACAGCATCTCTTTAATTCTCAAAATAACCCTGTGAGGTTTGGGGCTATTACTTCCATTTTACAGATAAAGAAACTGAGGCTTTCAGCAGTTAAATAAATTGCCAGGTCACCAGCCAGTGAGTGGCAGTGTCTGTGTGACTCTAAATTAAAGCTTCTGCTCTCGAACACTGCAGAACGTGAGAGGGAGGGAGCAGGCTTCCAGGCACAGGACGTCCCCTTCCTTGATCCCTGAATCGAGGTGGGGTGGTTTCGGGTGTATCTGTTCTCAGCTTGAGAATAAAGACAGTGACTTCAGGCACTGAAGGCCTCTCATGGATTGTGGTTTCCAGTGCCAGGCTCATGGACACGGAGAAGCTAGACTACCTGGATGCACGTGAGCCCAGCATACAGCCTGCTCCTTGAAGTAGTGGTTTCTAGAATGGAGAACTGAGACTCAAACCCTGTATTTATTCCCTTAAAACAAAGAGGACCGAGAAGTTATACTTCTTATTAACTCCTCTCCTTTTCTGTTTCTTCCTTCAGCCGGGTGATTTGTTGTACTTTCCCAGAGGGACGATTCATCAAGCAGACACTCCTCCAGGGCTGGCCCACTCTACCCACGTGACCATCAGCACCTACCAGAACAAGTAAACACCCTGCTTCCCCACCTAGCATCCTAGCACAGCTCTGAGTCGTGGCCCACGGGAGCTACATTCAAGAGGGACATGAGACCGTTGGCCAGCGTCTCTCATCCAAACCCTGGGGTTTCTGTCTCCTTTGCTGACTTCCATATTCCTTATGCCTTTGATGTCCCATGAGTGTGACCAGCTCATCTGGACGTCCTCCTGGGAACGTGGTGAATCTGACTCTGTGTAGGAGCCTGGGGATCACCCATATAGAGGGCCTAATAGTTCAGAAAGAAAGAAACCGTAGCTGTGGGTATTTCAGTGTTGGCGATGCCAGGCTGGGCATTTGTAGTCTCTTTTTTTTTTATTATAGTAAAACATATATAACATAAAATACGCCATTTTTAAGTGTATAATATGTTGGCATTAATTACATTCACACTGTTGGGCAACCGTCACCACTATGTTTCCAAACGTTTTAGATGCCTTCAACAGAAACTCTGTAACCATTGTAACCTCTTGGTCTCTTTTAAGGTTTTTCCTCTTTACAGTTCCTGAGGTTCTAGTAGGAAAGGCAGTCTGGAATGGTGGGAATGAAAAGCACAGGTGCCGACAACAGTTTCCATTAACGTCATGTTTTGTTTCAGCGAATGCCTTCTCACAAGACAGGAACTGGGTGGCAGCGCTTGTGTGTGTTATTTCCAAAAGGCAGCAACCTTGCTGTTCCGAATCACATTTAAAAACAGCAGTCATTAGTTAATTTATTCAGCAGGCATGCGCCAGACACTGTGCTGGTTGCTGGGAATGCAAGGATTGCATTGAAGGGGCTTTGAGAGAGCTTATGCTTTGGAAGCAGTGGTAGGAGGGGAGCTAGGCATGTAAATAGCTACCAGACAGTGTGATTGATAAGTTCTGTCAGAGGTTTGCAGAGAAGACTCTGGGAGGATAGAAGAATGCATTCAGCTAAGCAGGGGTGTCACAGAAGGCTTCAGAAACAACTTGACACCAAAGCTAAGTGAGTCTTAGAGGATGAGTAAGCAGGTGTGGGTCAGAAGATGAGAGTAGGAGAGGACATTCCAAGCCCAAGGGACAATAAGTCCCCTCCAGCCTTTAAAGCCGTAACTTTCAAAACAAGTTAGTAAGCATACCTCTGTTTCTTCCTCTGACTTTTCAGTGTGAAGTTCTCCTCTAAGTTTAAGAGACTTACTGGAGGAACTAGCTGGAGACTGGCCTGAGGTTAGTGCTATCTTTGCCCAAAGTAGAAGGACCAAGCTTGCATTAGGCGTCCACTTTGAAAAACGCCCTGTCACTGTGGCCAGGTAGGTTCCTTGTGTAGTAAGGGATGAAAAGTCACCAAGCTCAAGAAGAGCAGGAGCACTTGAGGGAGTGAATCACAGGACCTATGGAAGGGCTGGGCCTCAGAGGGCTGGGATCAAGTTCATTCTGGATCCAGAGCAGCCCTGGGCCTTGGCAGCCACATAGTTTGGCCCTGTGAACATCCGTGCATCTTCTGGTATCCCATGATGAACGTACTCAGTTACTGCTTCTCTCCCTAATTCTGTCATTTTCATTTCTCTTACTGCTACCAACTGGTTTCCAGTAATTGGTTTTTGCTTACTCCTTTTCCTGCCTCAGCATCTGTTTACTCACAACATTGGCTCATTCTAAGCCACCATCATCAGTTACTTCTCTGACCTCCCTCTGTCTCCTGGACCCTGTTAGGTTTTGCTTCAGCCAAGTACCCGACTAACTGTTTCCCAGACCCAAGAGTGAAGATCTGGCAGGCTGCTCCTGGGTCCCACCCACGCCTCTTCCAGTCAGTCGGGGCTGGGGAAGAGCCTTTCATGTTACCAAAGCTGCCCACCTAGGGCTGTGGGTGGGTGCCGTGACCCATGTGTCTTGGCTGGACTTTGACCTGTGTCTTGGCCAGTGATGGAGCTAGAGTGGGAAAATGGGACTGAAGCATCATTGCTTCCCAGAAACGTTCCTGTGCTTTGAGCCTGGTGCTCCTTCAGCTACCACAGTAGGGTGAAGATTTGGGACCTCTTCCTAACACCTCTCAAGGTAGCACCATTGGAGCATTTGGGTCCTGCTGTGTGAGACAACAGCAGGTTGATTTGGCTGTTCTACCAAAGTGAACTCCTCAAGAGGTGTACTCCTAAATTTTGGAAAGTCCTGAGATCTATTCTGACTCTTAGAAGAGCACAGAGCAGTGTTTACCTGCTATTAAATCCCTCCATGAGGAAGTCCTGCGTGACTTCCACCTATAACCCTGCAAGGGAAGCATGGATTTTATGCTGCTGTGAGGTCTCCATGTGTCCTCCAGGTTGAGGTTCAATAAAAGACACGGGGTTGGATATAACATTAAGTCACAAAGCAGTGAGGCCACCAGGCGGTGGATGTCTTGGGGAAAGTGTCTCTCATGTGGCTGTTGTCTTCCTTTGCCACATTTCTGGGAGGGAAGCATAAAAGTGTTAATTTTGCTTACTGAGTGAGAAGCAAAAGTCATACTGTGAATTTCCATTTTGCACATAGCCAGCAATTTGAAATCTGGTGACACAGGAAACTTTCAAACAGCTCAGAAATGTTTAAAGAGAGCAGCCCAACGGAGTGTGTTTCTTATACTGGCACACACTTAGGAATGAGCCAATTCTAAAAACCCCAGAGAAAGCAAAGGTAATTGAACACGGACGCTTGTCCCTAGACGTTATTTTTAGCTGCTGGCTTCTGCTTTCTACCCTGGTAACACCATTGCTAGAAATCAGGTTTTTTGGGGGGAATTACTGATGTTGGTTGATATTTTACTCAGGAACAGCTTCCCTCTTGTAAGTGACAAGGAAAATGTGACATTTAACTGTTCAGATAATTACACAGTCCAGAGACCTTGCTGTTACCCTAAATGTATTTCTGTTGGATTTACTGCACATAGAAAATGTTTTAGGTTCTATAATAAATGTTAAAATTTCCTACAAAGCTCTCCTCATACACACTTTTGTTAAAAATTTGGTCCCTTGAACTTTCTATTTTATGACAGTCTATGATTAATTTTCTGTTATCTTTAAGAGCAATCATGAAGGAAGCCTGTCTTCTCACCTTTAACTTTCCAAGTGAGTGTCTGGAATGGGGAGGAAGCAGGGTGATTGCTTAGGAAAGTCTTAGGTTTCTATGCTGAGTAATGTCCAATTAATTGAACTCAAAATACCTGGGAAGTTGGAACCCAATCCATAGCTTTTGGCTTTACTAGCATTAAGTATTTTATGTATATCTTGTATGCATTCACTGTTTTTTTTTTTTTTTTTTTTTTTTTCTTGGTGCATGTTCTAGTTCATGGGGAGATTTCCTTTTGGATACCATCTCGGGGCTTGTGTTTGATACTGCAAAGGAAGACGTGGAGTTGCGGGCCGGCATCCCCCGGCAGCTGCTCCTGGTAAGGGGTAGAGGCAGGTAGGAATGAAGGGTGGTAGCCGCAGCGCAGGCCAGCTGAAGCCCTGCTTCCTGGGGACCCCAGGATCCTTCTTCCCAGATGGCCAAGCTTGTCTCCTGTGCTGCCCTGCTGAGCCTGTGATTTGCAGAATGAATGGGGTGCTGTGTGTTACGTGGTGATCCAAAGAACCACAGGTGTCGTACAGACAGCTCTTTCACAGTGGCAGTACTGGCCACTGTGGGAATGCTGGTTGAATAAATGGTTAAATAAATGAATAATGTGGCCTGGAGAACTGTAGATTCAACACACATCAGATAGTTAGGAGAGACCCACTGCGCTGGAGATCCTGGCCTTGGCGTGTTCCCACCTGGCTTTCCTATTCTTTTTCACATTTCGAAAGAAGACTTCTATTTAGTTAGTTTTGAGAAGATGAATGGATTAGTGCTGAGTTGAGCAAAGGTTGCTTTCACTGTGTGAAGCAGTCATCTTAGGACAGTGACTTGATTTCCTGAAGGCAGATCCCAGACTGCACTACGTTTCCAAGGATTTTTCCTTGCAAAACCCTGAAAACTGATCTTTTTTTGCAAATAATAAGCAGCTTAAGATGGACAGTGTTTGCAAGGAAATAGTGGGATATTGTTCTTAAGGGCTCAGGTTGTCCCTCCCCCTTTGGAGTGACATGGATTTACGGCTATGCTGGGTGGTTGGCGGTTGTGCATATTACTGTGCAGAATGGTACTTGGGCAGGTAGTCCTGCTCGGGCCAGGACTCACTTCTGTGTTTCTAGCAGGTGGAAACCACAACTGTTGCAACAAGACAATTAAGTGGCTTTCTGAGGACGCTTGCAGACCGGCTAGAGGGCACCAAAGAACTGCTTTCATCAGACATGAAGAAGGATTTTGTTATGCACAGACTCCCCCCTTATTATATGGGAGACAGAACAGCGCTATCAACACCAGGTGGAGCTTGCTGTTTTCTTATGGGTGTTAGGGGCTAGTGTGGGATGTTTGAGGCTTTTCTGGGTAGGTTCCTTTGAGCAGATGGAAAGTGTGAAGCACTTTAGTGTTAATATGGACCTAAATCCATCCTTAGTGTGTATGGCTGAAGGAGACATGCCGTGCTCAACCTTTAGCGTCCTGCATCTCAGAAGTCATTTGTGTGATGGGAAATAAGAGCCCTATCTTTTTGGGTGAGAAATATGTATATTTATGGGTACCCTGGTATTCGTTATCTTCAGGAACTTTTAAGTACTTGAACGTTGAAATAATCTTGTTGGAATTAAGTCGGGAATGGGTAAAATGTTGCCATCAGCAGTTGAAATACAAGACTCCCCAAGGTTATCACAGACCTTCTCCAAGTCATAGATTGACTAATTTATGACAAGTGAGGGCTGCAAATGATGTAACACACTTGTGGATGGACGATGTCAGTGTCCTGTAGCAAAGACCACCAAGAACATATTCCTGAGCTCAGACAAAAGTTGGGCCTACTGACTTGTTGCAACGGGAAGACCACATACCACTGGGAATTGTAGGGCATCTCAGTAAAAGGGTGTTAGGAAGGATTTGGGCTTGAATTAGGTGGTTTTGGAAGAGGGTTCAAGGAAGCAGGGCTTTGCTCTGGATTGGATGCTGTGAGGACATAAGGGATTCTATGATTAGGTCTCTTCTAAATCTTAATCTAGTAGGCAGGAGGAATGTATGAGGCTAAAGTCATCGGTGGTAAAGCGGCAGCATCACTCACAACCCTGTGCCCTAATATGTTTGGTCATTATTGTGGTTTGGACAATGTGCCAGTTTTTGCCTGAGTTCAGACCTGAATATGGAGTGGTGGTGTTTTTGTCTTGAACTATCATGGTCACAAGGTGGTCTTGACTGACGTTGGTGTTCTGTGAAATTGTCTGTGTTCAACGGGAGAACACCAAGATCTAGATATGACTACCAGTCCAGCTCAGTGCTGTTCTTTCTCTAGGGTTGAGTGTGAGGAATATTTTTTTTTTTTTTTACTAACTTATAAAAGTTTTATTTATCACCAGGTAAGAACAATTGAAATAGACAATCTAAAGTCCCTTTTAACATTGATTCTGTATAATTTTTATTATAATCTTTGGAAGAAGTTTAGAATTTGTTTTGGATTGCATCTATTAATATTCAAAATAGCAAGTGTTTTACTAGCATATGTTTTAATGTTTAGCAGTACAGAGTTTGCTGAATACTAGCTTATGGCCCTGAATACTTTAGTGAGTATAATGGCTAAGACAAGGAAAACATTAAAGTTATGATCCCTCAAGACTCTTTCCACAGCCAGACAACATTGTATGGCTAGTCCGTTTTTAGTGGTTGCCTCTTCACTAAGTTCAATCCAGTTTAGAAAAGAGGAGGGGTTTTTTTGGTGAACTTTATTACATGGCTTTTATGGGATACTGTGCTTGATGTACATAGATAATTTAGCAGGGTAACACAACTGGTAATTGGTAGAGGGTGCAATTTGAACACAGGCAGTCCTTCCAGAGTACACGTGTAGAGCAAGAAGCTTGTAGAGCAGCGGTCCCCAACTTTTTTGGCACCAGGGACCAGTTTCATGGAAGGCAGTTTTTCCACGGACGGGGTGGGGCAGAGCTCAGGCGGTGATGCGAGTGATGGGCACTGCTGTAAATACAGATGAAGCTTCCCTAGTTCACCAGCTGGTCACCTCCTGTGCACCCCTCCCCTAAGTTTCATGGAACACAATTTTTCCATGGGGATGGGGGAGCTCTGTGGCCTGGTCCCTAACAGGCCACAGACCCATATCGGTCCACGGATGGGGAGCTGGGGACCACAGCTGTAGAGGATAGAAACTGGAGGAGTGTGCATTCTGTGCAGAAGGCACCATGACCCTATTTGTTGCAACAGCTACTGTGCTTCAATAGTATTATTTATGTCTATTTAATGTACTTATTATCTTGTTATTTATCTAATTGTCTTTCTTCACTGTAAGAATGAATTCCATAAGAATGTGAACTATACTTTTAATATCATTGTAATATTGGTATAAGCAAAGACTTCAGTTGGAGAGGGTGCCCAGTGTTTGGAATTGCACATGCAAGCAAGTTTGAATCTGCTGGTGTCCTTTTTTGAAGACTGTCTTTCTGTTTTTCTAGGTGGAAAGTTACCAAGGTTAGACAGCATAGTAAGACTGCAGTTGAAAGATCACATCGTTCTCACGGTAGGGCCAGATCAGAATCCATCTGTGAGTATCCAGAAGGGAAGAGATTTCCTTTCTTCTCAGGGTATTTTCATCACAGGCCTCAGGTCACCAGATTAACCATTGGTCCCTGCCCTTCTCCTTTGGGACTCCATCTGTGTTCAGTTCAATGCCTCCTCTTCAGGTCAGATAATGCCCAAATATCACTGTTCTGGTTCCATATTTTCCTTCCTGTTGGGCATTTGAGGGCTCACCCTCATCCCCACAGAACCCTCCTTCACTGCCCTTATGTGGTGATGAATGTTCCTTGCTTCCCATTCCTGCTTCAGGCCGTGTTGCTCGCACATGGACAAGTGCAGACCCCATTCTGAGTCTTCCTGCCTCCATCCCTGTCCGGTCCTGTACACTGCACAGATCTATTTTTATTTGTGGTTTTGTCGATGCTTCTCCTGAAACTATTGTGTAGATCATGGAGAACAAAATCTATATTCTGTAACCTGGCCACCTAGTGCAGTGATTCTCAAAACTGACTAACTGATCATGGAGTCAACTGGAAGGCTTTTTAAGATTGTAATTTCCTGGGCTTCATGTGGTCTTGGAGCCTTGCATTTGTTTTTGTAAAGCTCCCGGTACAATCCTATGGACCTTTGGAACTATCTCATACCATATGGTCTCGCCCTGTTGCTCCTAATCGGCTCTCTCGGGAGTACCCCATGAATGATTGCGGGGGATGAAGGGGGGACTTGGATGGCCCCATCACCAGATTGGTCCAGCTGTCAGGGCCAGACCTAGAGAGGACTGATTTATAATATATGTGTAAAACCTCAGAAGTATGTACTCTTACATCCCTGTATAAAGAAAATAGTGATTTTGATACCCAGTTTGAGACATTATATGTCATGCCAAGGTTTTTGGTCCTTATCTAGGAGGTGACAGACAATAAACTGCACTGTATAGGACAGGGAATGAAGGGACTACTTGGGGAACTACTGTAATTAAAATGGAGTTTTTTGTTTTTTTTTTTTTTTGAGACAGAGTCTCACTCTCTTGCCTGGGCTAGAGTGCCATGGCGTCATCCTAGCTCACAGCAACCTCAAACTCCTGGGCTGAAGAGATCCTTCTGCCTCAGCCTCCCGAGTAGCTGGGACTACAGGCATGCACCACCATGCCCCGCTGATTTTTTTTTCTGTATATTTTTAGTTGTCTGATTAATTTCTTTATATTTTAGTAGAGACGGGGTCTCGCTCTTGCTCAGGCTGGTTTCGAACTCCCGAGCTCAAACAGTCCGCCCGCCTCAGCCTCCCAGAGTGCTAGGATTATAGGCGTGAGCCATTTTGACAGATCACACAGCTGGTATAGCTCAAAAGTTAATCACTCCGTGGTGTTCATAAATTGCTGATTTTTTTGATGCAAAAATGATGGCGCAGGTATGATTAATATGAGAAATTGGGTGTGTCAGTGAAAATTGATATATAAATCATTGCTTTTTCATTAAATCAAGTTCTTGAAGAGGCTCTACCAGGTAGCACTCTGTTTTATCTTTAACAAAGTGACTTAGTGTACCTGTTAATTACCACATACAAATAATGATGTGTGATGACTAATGAAGTATAGACATTGTGTGTACACACATAACTTACACACAGATAACTTTTTGCCAAAAGGATTCTTTACAGTATTCAATAAATTTCACTTGAGCCCTGAGGCTTTCAAGATGACCGATAGGAAAACCCTCCTAAGTGTTGAAGCCCTTAATGTTTTATTGTTGATGCCCTAACACTTTTTCTCCCCCTACAGGATAAAGCTCAAGAAAAGATGGTTTATGTCTATCATTCCTTAAAGAATAGGAGAGACATACACATGATGGGAAATGAAGAGGAAACAGAGGTTTGTTCCAACTAAAAACAAATATCTTTTTTCCTGTGATTGGGTGGTGGCTGGGAACAATCGATATTTTTGATATATAGGTAATATGCTTTTTATGGCTGCAGTGCAGACTTACCATTCACCCCAATTGACAGAACCCTTGCATGGGGATGATTCAGTCAGTCAGTTTGATACATACACCAGTTTTAAAACATGCTTGCTGGGACCTATAGCCTTATAGGAAAGGTATGATGCATTTCAAATGACTAGTATCACTTAGTACATAAATTAGAATGCCTTTCATGAAGTCTAAGTTTCACACAAGAGTTGGCAATTTTTATAAAAGTTATCTAATTATAGTTTATCTGAAACGTTTCATATTTATGAAGGGTATCAAAAATAATGATGTATTGAGAATTATAGAAGTTTATGAAAATGCCACTTCAGTGACATAAGCAGTATTTTTTTCTTTTGACTAATTTATCCTTTTTCAGCCTCACGGACTTCGCTTTCCTTTATCACATTTGGATGCACTGAAGCAAATTTGGAATAGTTCAGCTATTTCTGTCAAGGACCTGAAACTTCCTACAGATGAGGAAAAGGAAAGCCTGGTATTGTCCCTCTGGACAGAATGTTTAATCCACGTAGTCTAGTGCCTTTGCAGAATCAAATATCTACTATTATTTTATATGCACATATTAAAGGAAAAGTGAAGAGTCAGACTGAGTAGGTTGAACGGCTACATTCATGAGACCACCCCTCCTCCCCATCATAGGTAGTCTCTGGGCCATGTGTACAAGGGCACACGGATGAAAGAACAGCAAATTACCAAGTGTCCCAAAGTGATAAAAACTATACTTCTGACAAGTTTATTTAATCCAGTGTGGTAGAAAAGGCACAACTCCAATAAATGTATATCATTTAGAATTAAATGTTGTTAACCTGGCTTTATCTTCGTTCTTTGGAAGAAACAACTTCTTTAAAGAGCCTCCTTAGCAGCTCTAGAAAAATTTTAAACAATTAACAGAAGAAACATTTTTAACTTGGTTTTTTACAATGAAAATATACATACCTTTGTGTATACATGAGCCTACCCATTAAAATAAAAAGTTATTCCTGCAACATAAATTTCATTAAATAATATTGCCACACCAGTGAGAGGCACTCATCAGCTATGGCCATAAGGGAGTTTGACAGATGCTGCGTAAAAGGTGAGAAGAGCCTGAGATTGAGGGGGGAAAACCCAATATTTACACAGAAAGACCAAGTCTGTAAAAAATACTCAAAATGGTGGGTTTTTGAGTTTAAACTATTGTTATTTTACATTCTAAAGTGCACATAGGTTGATATTTTTAAAAATATCACTGGAGAATTAATCTTTCTATATAAAAATAGAGCATTTTTCTGCTTTCTGGAAAAAGTTGGGGATGAAAGGAATTGTCTCAATGTAAGTTTAATTCCAACTCAGGAGGGAAAAATTCTTGTGCATTGTGCAGTTGAAGGTGGTAAAGATGATGATTTCCTACCTTATTTCACTTAAGTGAAAGCTACTTAAAAACTGAATTTTCTGTCATTTAGTAGAGAAATCAACTCCACCTTTACTTGAAAAGTAAGAACGGTAAGATCAAGGCCCAAATACATTTGAAATTTCCCTTTACTTCAGTCAGACAGACAAAAATTTGACTATTGTTAAAGTGACATAGTCCTTATAAACACTTCTTGCAGGCAGATCAAACAAAATCTAGGGTGAAGTCTCAGCAGGGATATAGGTAGTCATTGTTAGAGTCTTGTCACCTAAAGGGATGTTTTTGTTAACAGTTAAGAGTGCAAGGTTGGCCATTTTTAGTTTGAAGGACTGAGTAAAGAATGGCCACAGAAAACACTCCAATACTTGTGCCTTTTTCCTAACAAAGCTGAGTCCCCCTCTGGCGTCAGTTACAAGTATATATACATAAGGGATGCTCCAGTTATAAAAGCCTCAATATAGAAACTTTAAGGTTTATCTAATTACAGCAGCTTAATAAAAGGTTTATTATATGTGATTTCAGATGTTGCTAAAAATTACTCATCTTTTTTGCAGAAGTATGACTTGACCTATAGGAAGGAATCTGTTTCCCTGTGCCTTGCATTCATACAAGCATCTAGTAGGATATTAGTAACTAATACAGGGTGATGGCATCACCACTGTCCTATAATGGGCTATCGGGAATAGGATTCATGTTTGGTGGATAGGAGAGAAAACACAGACTTCAGGAAACTTGCTCACTACAACTGGAGATCAATCAGAAATAGAACCTTTCCCAGAAATCGTAACATTTTCTCCACAGGAACACTGAGTAACTGGCAAGAATATTTTAGCTTTTCCATGGTTAAGAGCCTGGGAGAGAAGTCCTTTCTGCTCAGTGATCCAGGAGCGTGAGGACAGTAGCTTCCTTGCCACATGTGCAGGACAATGAGGGATGTGGGTTACCTTCTTCCTCTGCTCTTTCTAGGGATGTAGTTGATTCTCTCACAATATTTCAATGTCCCATTTCTGTGTTTCTTCTCCCTCCAGGGGCTGATTTACAATTACATGAGTCTTGTCACAATAATTTCCTCCTGAAATAGAAATTCCAAAAGAAAGGATTATTTGTTCACACAGGTGCTTAGCAATTTCACAATTTTCACAAGCTTTTGTTCAGCTCACTGTTTGGGTAGATTACTATGCCATTTACAAAGCAGTCTAAAGTGGGAAACTGAATTTGAACAGGCTTAGCCATTATTCACCTCAAATTGGACCTTATTATGACTCAAATTGAAAAACTACAAGGCTTTTAGTTTTTCAAACAATGCAATTCTTCAGAACAAAGTACTCTGAGAAATTCTGGCTGAATGTCAGGTACTCTGTTTTTGTTTCTACACCAACAGTGACTGACTAATCCAATTAAAGCAACAGCCATGAATAATATTGGCCCTGACCTGGCTGAATTCAAAAACAAGGTTAATTGATACCTACCATAAATTTTTACTGAGAACTTTTAAGGACCATGGGAATTCACAGCAAAAAGTTAGAGATGTTTCTTTCTAAGAAACAGATGACATTTGTTTTATGATGCTTCAGGTTTAGAACTATTGTCAGTTCATGTAGCAAATGAAAATTTTACAACTGTATTGATGAACAAAAACCTCCTTAAATTTTGTCATTAGGCTTTTTCTGTTTGTTCATAAAACTGCATATCTTAACTTCTTTCAGACATAATTAAGGGTGACTTAACATTTCTCTGTTACACACAAGGATGCCCTTTACCCAGAAAGAAGAGATTTGGAACTGAAACTGATATCATGGGTTGTCGTCCAAGGCCCACCTTTAACATCAAGGACAAGTTGATCACTGAGATACGAGCTGATAGTTCCATTTTTATTCAGTCTCCACTTCTGCCTGAATTGCCCATGTTCGGTCCACAGGGCCACTTTAGCTCCAGGTGTGTCCCGGCCACCAATCACATCAAGACATGTATCACTGGCCTAAAAGGGTTAAGAAATAATTATCTGGCAGTACTGTGTTTGCTGAAATAAATGGAATGGGCTCCCTTTTCTTTCAGGTGAACAAATCACAGACATGAAGTGGCTATGTTTTATCTAAAAAAAAAAAAATAATGCTAATTTCAGTAAACCTGTTAAGTTTTTTTTATGGCTGGCTGGGAGGAGAAGGTATAGAAATAAACCTACTGAAACAGAGACACTTGTTTTTAATAGAATGTCTGCATCTGGCAACAGATGTTCAATAAAGGTTTGTTGTATTGGAATTAAATGTTAAGTCCCTGTTTGCTTAAAATATATTACATAGAGCTTTGTTTTCTTATAAAACACTGGGTGGTATCCAGATAACAATTACTTTTAAATTTTCATTTTTGAAGCATGATGAAAAGTAGATAATCTATTGGTGATACAAGAAAATACAGGTTTAATGTTTTTAAGCTATTGCTCTATTCCCTTAGCATCAAACATAATGTAGGTCACAGAAAAAAACTAAATTTTATTTTCTAAGCTTCCTCCAATAACAGCTTGTTTTCCTACTGCTACTTCACTGTATATCTTGAAAATGACAGGCTTTCAACGTGTTACGGAATTGAACAGTCAGCTGATTTTTCCCTGGGCCTTCAAGTAAGGAACATCTCACAGAAGCATATTGTCCAATTGAGATCCAGTGACTTAGTATCATTGGTTTAAAATATCACTTAGGCATGTCCATAGTATGTGATAAGCTTAGTTTTTACCTAAAAATTGAAACTGGATTTTCTAGATCAAAAAATTCTCAAAGTCCCTTTGAATTAAATGCTTTAGTAATATACATGGCAGTATTTTTATGATCATGCAATGAACTGTTTCTAAGAAGTTACATTATTTTATCATGCCAGTTGATTGACAAGATTCTTGTTTCCAGAAGAAGAAACCAAAGACCAGAAAGTATTGTTATCAGCGAGGTCACTTACCTTGGATTTAAAGAGTCCTCGACAGTAGTGCCAGATCTGAGTATTCTTTCCACTGTAGGGAGAGATGCACACAGATGTTGCCCTTGTGTCCGCCAGATTTCCAGTGACTGTCAGATACTCATCCTGGGCTCGGTTCTTTATTCTGATGTACACTGCAGGCTATGGCAGGGGAGAAACAGAGCCATTTAGAACTAACCTTTTGAATCTGGAAATCAATCCTTCTAAAGGAGGAAAGCTGGGAGGGGAAGTGAGAGGTGACTAGTTTATTTCTATTAGTTTCACTCTGAGTCCCTGTAGCAATTACATATAAATTAATATTTCCCTTTGATAAATCCTTAAAGCACAGAGCACAAGGCTTAAATTGTACATTCTCTATTATACTTTCTGAAAAGTGCCCTTTTGAAAGGGTATAAAGTAATGGTTTCATTCACAGAACTCTGTGGCAAGGGGTGGGGTGGTGAAGAATTAGGGAACTGATGAGTGTCATTCGGTAACTGTGTCCCAGCTGGGCTGAGGGAGTTAGGGTAGTGGGAGTAAGGGCAAGGTACCACCTATAAGGATCTTACAACTTCAGAAAGACAAGTACAGTAATCAGACATACTATCTTGAGCTATGATTAAATGCCAAAAGTGAGCTATGGGAGGTCTTGAAAAACCCGGATAGCTGAAGGACCTAGTAGCTGTGGTAATCTCTTTGTTTATAAAAGACCTTTATATTTCTTCAAAGGAAAGGACTATGTATGTTTAATCAGTACTTAGCTATTCAAAAATTGGGTAACGAAGGACTTCATCCCCTTGTCCTGAAAGCTTTAAAATACATACAGGAAGTTTTTAAAATAAATTATTATTAAATCTGGGACTTGCCTCTAAGGATAATAGCTAATATTTATTGAGCACTTAGTATATGTCAAGCAGCATGCTAAATGCTTTCTGTGCCATTATGTTATTTGTCAGAATTAATAACCACAACAACCCTTTAAGAACCTACTGTTAAAGGCTGGGAGCGGTGGCTCACTCCTGTAATCCTAGCACTCTGGGAGGCCGAGGTGGGAGGATTGCTTGAGGTCAGGAGTTTGAGACCAGCCTCAGCAAGAGCGAGACCCCGTCTCAACTAAAAATAGAAAAATTAGCCAGGCGTGTGGCACACACCTGTGATCCCAGCTACTTGGGAGGCTGAGGCAGGAGGATTGCTTGAGCCCAGGAGTTTGAAGTTGCAGTGAGCTATGATGACACCACTGCGCTCTACACTCTACCCAGGATGACAAAACAAGGCTCTGTCTCCAAAAAAAAAAAGTACTGTTAAGACCCTAGTTTCATGAATAAGGTGAACACAGATGTAGAAAAGCCACATCTGTCTGCACCACCACCCTTGCTCTTAACCAGGATGCTCTCAGGCCTATGTGGACATGCACTAGTTACTCTTAGGCACAGGAAGTAAGAGACTAACTCCACAGATGGCAGTGTAAGACAATGCAAGGGCAAGGCACATGGTCAAAGCTCCATAGAAACCATTCTTTCAGTCTCATGACTCAGGGGACCAGCCTCAATGAAATAAAATATAGGAGACCCAACATGCTTACGTTGGGCTGGGTGTTGGCTCCCAATTAGAACCTTGGCTGAGTTATAACAACAAATGGTCTGTTACTTAATAAGAGAGCACTTTCACTCTGAGAAACTAAGTGCTAGGTAAATGCAACAGTGAGACCACCAATAGATAGTTTACTATTTTTGAAACTTATGGTAGATCGACATGAGGCCAGGTGAATTTTAGTAAACTGCTGCCATGTTTAGCCTTCCTAAGGAAATAAACATTCTGAGCACTTAAATAAGCCAATAGAAGGACAAATTCTCCGGCCACTAAAGCAGGTGAAAAAGACCTCTACTTGGCAAAATGTTTTAAATGTTTCAAACCCCTGCTTCTACTTTCATAATGCAACAGTAATGTACTTAAATTTCTATAATCCAGCCTGGTGTCCCACTGCAATTGTTAATTCTTGAGGCTTCAGTATATCTTTATTACATTTTCATTACCATGTACAGATAAGAAAACAGGCATGACCTTCACAGATGACAGAATTCCAATTACTTTAGGACCAAACATCACAGTTTTAATCAATTAACTCAAGCAAGGTACTAATTACCCTTATTACACATTTGTAGTCTGACTCCTCTGTAATTATACTTAAAAACACTGATATACATTATAAGTACCTTAGTGACTTCCTAATTCCCAACCTCGAAGAGGGATCACATTTTAATTAGTCCTGAATTTTGAAACAAGAATATCAACTAAAGCAGTACCAACAGCCTTACCAAAAAAGTTAAATGGGACCCACAAACTACTATTTCAGAAACCAGAATACCTTTGCTGGGTTTCAGAGCTATGGTCCAAATAAACAACAGGGAAATACTCTATTAAAATATTATTTTGAAATTAAATGTTTAAGCAGAATAGGAATCAGGTAGTTATTTCCTAAAGCATGATGGAAGAAAACAGTGTATCATTTTTATTGTCAAAAAACTTCCTTATCAAAGTAGACGCCATTATTCTAGCTATCCTTCATCTCAGGACCCTGAAGAGAAATCCTTCCCCAAGAAGGAACCACCATTCAAAAATTAGGAAAATATGGCTGGGCGCGGTGGCTCACGCCTGTAATCCTAGCACTCTGGGAGGC